TGTTTTAATGATAATATGCTGTGAGGAGGTTCCATTTTGGCCAAGTCTCTTTGGTGTCCTGGAGGCTTCCTGTACCTGTGTGGGCAAAATTTCTTGAGATTTGGGAAATTTTCTGTTATTATTTTATTGACTATGTTATGAATCCCTTTTTCTTGGACCTCTTCTCCTTCTTCAATACCCATGATTCTCAGGTTTGGTATTTTGATGGAGTTTGCGAGTTCTTGGATATTCCTTTCACAGTTCTTGAGTTGTTTGACTAACATTTCTTCAGTTTTTTTCTTTAAGTTCTCTTTTATCTTTGAGTTCTCAGATTCTTTTACTTGTTCTAGTCTGCTGGAGTGGCCTTCTACTGTGTTTTGTGTTTCTGTTTTATTCTTTTTTCTGAGGTTTTTCCATATCTTTGGTTACCTCCTCTTTAATATTTTTTATTTTTGTCTTAATTCATTTATCTCTCTATTTGTAATGTTCTCTGGTTCACTTTGATGTTTATTTAGGGTGCCTGAGTTCATTTATTTGTTTCTGTGTCTTCTCATGTTCTTTATTTTTGGTGTCTTGGAATTTCTTGAGTACATCTTGTACTTTTTGGTTAACCATGCCTAGTATTCTCCATGAAATTCTCAGTGATTTCTTGTAAGATTTCTTCTTTGACCATGTTTTTGTTGGCATCACTATGTTCCTTAGTGTCGTTTATCATTGTTTTGCTGTGGTCAGGAACTGGGTAGCTATTTTCTTTATTTCCCTCTGAACCTGTATTAAATGATTTTTTTGATGAGAGTGGTTTCCATCCCTTCTATATCTTCCCATCACTCCACTTGGTGCTGTGCAACTGTGTTCTTGACAGGCTAGTTGGTGGCTTTAATCACCTTTTTTCTTTCCCTTGATTTAATTTTTGTGTTGTGACTGTCTTGGTTGTTAGCTAGGTTTGTGTGCTATTTCTGTTATTGGAGAAATATGGCCTAGAGGTATAATTTAGCAATAACTAATTCACAGGTTCAATGCCTGACCAGTTGTTTATATTTTATATAGAAGACCCCTTGGTCAGATTATCTATAAACAGTGGGAGTTGGGGGGAGGTTAATGTTTGTAAGACTAGCTATAGAAATTTGGGAAATTGGTTAGGGTGGCACTAAAAAGGGAGATGGGAAGTGGGGAAGCAATGTGGGGCTGCTGGATTTTGTGGCCCTTGTGTGTGTTTGGGTGTATTTCTGTTGTTGTAGTGCAGGATGCTTGTGTCAGGGATTTCTGTGGGTTTGGGTTGTGTAAAGTTGGTAGAGTATGTTGGTCAGCAGGTGGTGAGTGTGTAGGAGGGAGGGATGGTAGGGTGACAGGTTGGAGGAGGGTGGGAGGGGGAGATTAAGGCAGCAGGAGAGAGTGGATGAGAATGGACAGAAAGAGTAGTTGGGAAGGAGAAAAATGGATTGTAGCACAGGAGAAGGAGGGAGAATGGAGGGGGTGAGAGTCAGGATGAGAAGATAGTGATGGTGAAGTTGGAAGTACAGAAAGAAAAAAGAAAATAGGAATGAAAATAAAAACCCACAATAATATAACAAGCAAACAAAAAAACAGGAAAGAAAAAAGAAAACACAATAAAGAAACACAAGGTTCAGGAACAATAGAATTTCAGTCTTAGTTTAAGTTCTGGAGTTGTTCCTGTGGCATCTAGTCCTGGTATTGGCATGTAAGCAGAAGCTCTGACATGGTCTGACCAGGTGACTGGCTTGTGAGTAGTGTTTTGTTATTCTGTCCACCAGTTTAGTTGAAATTGTGAGGTGAGGTAGATTTGCCAGATCATGCAGGGTGGTCGGAGCTGTTGTTTTCCACAACTGACAGCTGTGTTATCCTTCAGCTGCAGCTGTTTGGTCAGCTCCACCCCAGTGAGGTGGGGCAGTTCAGTTTTGAATACTGCTCTCTGGCTCAGGAGATCAGCTCTGTGATCCACTTCCTGCCCTGCTTTGGGCTTGTCGCCCTGCTTCCACTCTCAGCCTTTGCTCCCTTTCCTGTGTTTATTCACTGAGATAGTCTGTGATCTTGATGTTAACTTCCAATTTGAATGGTTGACATATTAAATTGGTCTTTTAAATTATCTGATAAAACATTTAATGTAGTAAATGTTCCTAAAGACTGCCCTAGTTATATCCCAAATGGTTCAAAACATAAAATTTCACCTGTCATTCAGTTCTAAACATTTTCTACTTATCTTTCTCAGTGTGTTTGGACCACCATAACAAAATACCATGTCTTGTGTGGTTTTCCTAGTGAGGTACCATCCTCTAGTCAGAGCCACCCTCTTGTGTTCTCACCTGGTGGAGAGACAGGGTGTAAGCCCCGTGGTGTTTCTAGTTATGAGAACATTAATCCCACCTGGGGGCCCCAATGTTGTGACCTCATCTAAACTGAATTACCTCCCCAAAGCAATATGTGTGTGTGGGGGGTTAGAGTTTCAAAGTATGGATATTATGGGGATGGGATTCAGTCCATAGCACTAACCTTGGAAGTTTTGCTTTGACTCATGAGTTAGCAGTGAATTTCTCAACTTATGTACATACTCACTTTTAATCTATCTATCTATCAATCATCTATCTATCTCTCACATCTATCTATAGTTTTGGGTGGTACGGGGTTTGAACTCAAGCACTGTACCACTTGAGACATGCCCCCCTACCCTTTTTGTTAGTTAGTTTTGCTCTAGAGTTTTGAATTTATGCCTGGGCTGGCGTGGACCATGATCCTCTTATTAACACTTCTGGTGGACCTGGCATGACATTGTACTTCCACGCCCAGTTTTCCTATTTTATTTATTAACATTTGTTACTGATTTCTCACAAATTGCCTGGATTTCAGAGAATGGGATCTACATATTTTTTCTTTAAATTCATTGAGTTTTTAATATTTCAGATATGTTTAACAATATTTTATAGGCATTTATTTAAAAACAATGTGTATTTTGGTTTTTGTTGCATTGGCATATATATGTGTATATTTGTAAATTTGATTTGACTTATGAAGCCAATCAATTGTTTTGTATCTCTCCTACTTTTTGTTTGTTTGATTTATCATCACTAGGTGATGTGTGTTTAGATTTTCCCCTACAAAGGAGATCGTGTGTATTTTTTTGTGTGGTTCTGTCCACTTTTGACTTCCATATTTTGTAATATGTTGGTAGGTGGATGTATGTTTAGAATTGTTATATTTTCCTGATGATTTAAAGATATCATACCTCTATTAATGATTATTCTAAGTATACTTGGTCTTCTATTCATGCAGCTTTATTTTTAAAATATGTAGTTTTTCCTAACTTACTGTTTGTTCTTCATATTCTGTGATTTTTCTCTTTTTAAAAATCTAATTCTGTTTTTCCCTGTTCAGTAGTATGGTTCATTCACTCTTTTCCTATTAATACTATGTACCCTAGAAATAAGTGTACTTCTTGAGTTATTAAAATTGAGCTTTAATCGATATTTGACCTTATCCATCCAAATAAAAGGTAATCTTACTCTTTAACTCAGACTTCCCTGTTCTTGATGTATGTCCTATTTTGACTATTATTTTATTTCAATTTTCCTTTTGGATTTTTTTGAGACGAGGTGTTTCTATGTAGCTTGGGCTGTTCCAGAACTTGAAATATTTCTGCCTCACCCTTTTGAGTGCTGGAATTACAGGCAGGTACTACTATTACCTTTAGTCACACGATTTTTTTGTACTTAGAATATCCTTTCTGGAAATGCAAATCAAAACCACACTAAGAGTCCACCTCACCCTGTTAGAATAGCCATCATCAAAAACGCCACCAACAACAGGTATTGGTGAGGACGTGGAGGAAAAAGGAATCCTCGTACACTGCTGGTGGGAATGAAAGCTAGTGCAACCACTCTGGAAAAAAATTTGGAGACTTCTTAAAAATCTAAACATAGATCTGCCATATGATCCAGCATTACCACTCCTGGGGATATACCCAAAGGAATGCAGCACAGGTTACTCCAAAGGCACCTGCACACCCATGTTTATTGCAGTGCTGTTCACAATAGCCAAATTATGGAAACAGCTAAGATGCCCCACTATTGATGAATGGATTTAAAAAATGTGGTATTTATACACAATGGAATTTTACTCAGCTATGAAGAAGAATGAAATCTTATCATTTGCAGGCAAATGGATGGAACTGGAGAACATCATTCTGAGCGAGGGTAGCCAGGCTCTGAAGACCAAAAATCATATGTTCTCCCTCATATGTGGACTTTAAATCTAGGGCAAATACAGCAATGTTGTTGGACTTGGGTCACATGACAAGGGGAGAGCACATATGGGATGTATGGGGATAGGTAGAAAACCCAAAACATGAAAGCATTTGATGTTCTCACTCTGGAGGAACCAATACAGAAACCTTAAAGCATCAGAGGTCAACATGAGAAGGGGATCAGGAACCAGTGTAAAGATAAGTTAGAGATGAATTAACTTGGGTTGTAACACATTTGTACATGGAAGCAATGCTAGGAATCTCTCTGTATAGCTATCCTTAACTCAACTAGCAAAATCACTTTGTCTTTCTTTTTAATGCTTATGTCTTCTCTTCAACAAAATTAGAGATAAGGGTAGAATTGGTTCTTCCTGGAAGCGAGGTGGGGATGGGTGGAGAGGGTGGGGGTGGGGAGCAAGGGGGAGAAATGACCCAAACAATGTATGCACATAAAAAAAAATAGAATATCCTTTCTGTCCTTTTTTCAATATAATTCCTATTCATCCCTTATGTCTTAGTTTAGGTATCATCATCCAGGAAACCTTCATGTTGAGCTGCTAGACTTCACTTTGAAATAACCAGCCCTCTGTGTTAGGTGTACACAGCCCTTTGTAAAAATGGTGAAATATTCAATTTGTATGTCTTTCCCTGCCTCCAGACTACAAGCTCTTATGTATATGGACTCTGTATTTTTTCATTTTTGTACATTTAGCTTTTCACATAGTATATTCTCCATAAAAAATTAAATCTGTTATTTCTTACACAGCTCTAAATTGAATCTTATGGACTCCAAATATTATCATCCAGTAGGATCTCCAAATGTATTCACAGAATAACTTCAAAAGATGAAACTTGCCCCCACTGAGGATATTAAATAGAATATGCTCTATACTTTGAAGGCGAGCCAAAGAGTGATTTTAAAGGATTTTTGAGTACTGTGCATTGTTACAACAAACCTAGTATCTTCTCAAGTGAGCAATTTATTTATTTATTTATTTTTATTTTTTTTTTTTTTTGCTAATATAAGTAACATTTTAATGAAACATTTTAACAACTTCAAGCACAAAAAATTGAAGATAGACAAATCTTTTAAAGTCTAGCAATAGAAGAAGCTGGGTTCCCAAATCTGCTTCTGTAGTTAATCTTTTGCCATATATTGTGTGGGTTGAAGCATATGACGAAAGTCCAATCTCATATAGATTTGAAGTTCAAAAAAGAAGGCATATTTTAATAGCCTTTGTAGATAACTATTGACTATCTTCTTTGATACTACTCTGAAATTCTTCAGATGGTAGGGTTGTTTTTGTTTTTTGTGGCACTGAGGATTTAACTCCAGTTCTCATGCTTTTTGGTAGGTGCTCTACCACTTAAACCATACCCAGTCCTTTTTGCTTTTAGTTTGTTTTTTCAGATAGGGTTATGGTTAACCTTGTCTGGACTGGTCTTGAGCTGCAATCCTTCTACCATTACTTCTTGAGTAGCTGGGACCACAGCCACCATGCCTAGCTTGTTTTTGAGATAGGGTCTTGCTAACTTTTACCTGGGCTGCCCTCAAACCATGATTCTCTTGTCTCTGCCTCTAGAATAGCTGTTGTTACAGATTTATACCACTGTGCACGGGTGTGTACCACAGTATCAGGCCCAAATGATAGTTCTTTGAATTTCTGTGGTAGTGTGGACCCTGAAAACGTATCAATGAACTTTTCTTAGTTAATTAACATCCACTGGCCTATCTTATGCTTTGAGTGTATTTTAAAAATTCAAGTGAGCAATTTAAAGAAGCAAACAACCACTTGAATATATGTTGGTTAAAAAACCTAACTTTATGCTTTATTGTTCTTCTGTTTAATAATTGTACCAACAGGTAAATCTAATGAAACATGATCTGGAGTCTATGACAAAGTAGAATTCCAATGAAATGAAGCCAAACAGAGGGGAAGGAATAATTTTAATTATTTAAAAGGCATGAATTGGGATCACAATAAAAACCCAGGATCCCTTGAGGTTGTCAGAACTTATATCCATTCTTAAAGCTTCTTCCTTTTCTTATCTTTTGTATTTCTGTGTCTTCCCCACCCTGATACATGTATCTATCTCTTACTCTTAGAGCTGCTATCTCTCCCACACTTGAGCAGGTGTGATGCCCCCTGCAGCATTCAGGAAGACAGGGTGTATTTAGGAGGACAGGCATGGTGATAGCTGTTATTAAACAAAGACTGAAAACGAAAGAGAAGGTAAATCATCTAACAAATTGGCCAGTTCAAGCTAGGAGAATGACAATCTTTACCTTCTACCAAGTGCACCATAAAAATTCTCAGATTTGTTGGGATAGCTCTGTGTTTCAATAAATCACACAGGACTCAGAACTCCTAGGAATTAAACAGAGGATGAGCAGTGTTCTTGGTTTTCTTTTACATTTTAGTATAGTACATATACTTGCTGGTAGGAGACCTGATTCTCAATAACCTAAAAAAAAAGAAAATAGAAAGAATGAAATATGCAACAAAATTAAAAATTTCATATGAACTCATATCTGCTGGCTTCTAGAACACTCTCAGCAATGTGAGAAGATTTGATTCCCTGCCAGGTTTGTGGGATTCTACTGCCGCTCTGTGCTGAGGTTCCACGGGAGAACTGCCAATGTCAACTTCTCTGACATTGAGCTGCAGTGACAGGAGGGCTTGGTGTGTGCATGTGAACTTCTGTTACTTTTTAAAGGGACTGATAAGGTTTTGAAGCTACCATCATGTGACACCAAGGGACTGGAACATAGTGGAGGCAAAGCCATCAGGTGACCAGCTATTTTCTATAGAAAACACTTTAGGTCTTCCTGATCTTTAAGCCTTTCCTCTAGTTGTTCTGACCAGAGTTGATACTGAAGTTCATACAACATCCACTGTGTACTGTGGGGTATATAGAATCCTAGGAGAGAGAACTAAATTTTTTGTTTGATTTTTGACTTACAGGCTTGTTATAAAGGAAGACTCTGTGAAGGGTTTAGTATGATATACTCTTTTGCTGACTGCAAGCTTCAGTTTCCTGAAACTTCATTGCTTGAATTTTCTGAGACCTTTTAGTCTCTGTGGGGTTCAGTTCAGGGTCTTTAGCAAGAGCTCTTCTTCACATGAGAAGATTAAAAGGAAAACAAGTTAATTACTTTCCAAATTTCACCTTGGAATAAAAGACAGCACATGCACATTACAGAAAACCTGTCTTTTCTTGGTCCCTACTGATGTTGCTTTAGAGAGAGGAAGAGGCCACAGCAGCAAGCCATGAACAAACTCTCTGTTATTTTAAAGCAAGGAAGGCAGTAGAACAAATTGCTATCCCACACGAACATCTCCCCCCACACACTACAACACAATCTTGACATATCACAGCAATTTCTTGAGGAGTTTATTTTAGGGATTAAGTGCAAACCTGCAACCACATGCTGGTGCCTAAGGAGACTGAATTTTGTGTTGAAATAATACATGATAGGAAAACGAAGCTGAGGGAGTGAAATAAAACCTGTCTTTGGGAAAAGTAATCTTTTCTCTAAGTTATTAAAGTTTTTAGACTCCTAGGTTTTTGATGAGCTTATTTAAAAACCTATGGGTGGAAAATTAGGAGCTTAAAATGCTGACAGCATTAAAAAATAATGAGAAATACTTGGTTCCTCAAGGGCTTCTTCACTCACCCCCCAAATAGTTTGATTTTTTTCCTCCCTATTTATCTCCTTTGTCTTTTGATAAAAAGAAGAGAATCCTTTGAGAGGACAATTCTGAGGTCTTAATCCATAGTTCTTTCCAGGTTATCTTTTACATTCAAAACAAACACCTTTAAAAGAATCCTTTTTGGTAAGAGAGAGCTAAATGCTAAGCTTAGGTATCAGCAGCTAATTAGCTTCACATCTGGGAGGATTGTCAATGAACTCCTTCTCCTGAATATTTATTAAAGGATTTGTAAAGAGAAAGTTATTTTCAGAGAAGTGGAGCCTGTTGAATATTCTTACATCAAGTCAGTTGAATGGGAACGGTAGTGTATGTTGGTCCATCTAAAACCTGCTGTACTATAGACTTGAATAATCAAACCCAACGGGTGCATTGTAATGAGAACATACCACACTGATTTCATGCTAAATGTTGCTTTCCATTTCAACATCTTAATTGAAGAAGCTTCAAAGTCCTGTACCAGTTCATGTGTATTGAACCTCAGTATCCCTTTTGTCATTTTGTTTGGGGTCCTTATGTGCTTATCTGTGCTGCCTATGTCTTTGGGAACACATGAAAGGGATGAATTGCCACACAGAAGAAGCTGAAATTCTTACATGGTGCAAGTATGTTCTCTATTACAGACCTTGTTACTGCAGAACATCCACTCTGTACCATTCAGCCTGTGCTGAGGCCACTGCTGCACATCTTGGGCTCAGCCTTTACCTCCTGCACATCCTGGGCTCAGCTTCACCAGCTCCCTGCCACCTGTGCCAGAGCCACCCTCTGCATGGGCTGTTGCTGCCATTTTCCAGTGCTGTCACATTCTCCCCCATCCGCCAGCTGCCTTCTCTAGCATTGCTGCCAACACTGTGTTAGCATCAACGTTACTGCCATTCTCTCCTCCTACAGAGGGGCCTCTCTTCTTCTCCTGACTTTGACAGAAAGGCAAAAATTAAAATCAAAATGAAAAAAAAAAAACCAAAATACAAAACTAGAATGAGATCGCTCCCAGGGGCTTCACATAGTCCAGGTCGTCATTCTTCCTGTTTTCCTGTTCTGGGAGCTGAGATTTCACACCTCAGACATTTCCAGGATCCTCTTCCTGGGTGTCAGACATGCTTTTCACCAACCTGAAAAGCCTGGGGATGTGAGTAAAGAGAGCAGAGACTCAGAGGAACTACCTTACCAGCACTCAATGATCCCAAATATGTGGGAGATACATGTTTCCTGATGAGACGGGGTCCTTGCTAATTGCTTCCACTGACAAAAGGGGTAGGAAAAAGAAATCAAAGATAGACAAGCATAAGAACACCCTAGCAGGAGTTTGGAAAATGCTTTCCTCAGGCAGGTCCTATGATGCTTGGCCACTGCTCTTGGAAACGAATGGAAAATTTAAACTAAAGCTGATGTCACAGTGGTAGGAAATCTGGAAAGAAGGGCATGTTAAGAAGACATCAGTAGTGTCTGAGTTTGCACCTGTTACTTTCAAGTAATCAGTGAGACATAGGATAGGTATGTCCAAGAGGAAGCAGGAAATTCATGGAAATGGTAGGCTGAAGTCATAATTTAACCAGAGGTGACAGCCATAACTGAGCTTGGGTGAGTGTCAATTTAGGGAGGACAGAGTGAGAAAATGAAATCCAAGGAGAGAAACATGGACTTCCTATATTTCTGCAGGAGGAAGAAGACAAACAGGCAGAAAAGGAAGAATGATGGAAGTAAAATTAAGATTATATGGAATGTCGTGGAAATGATCAAAGGAGGAGACAGAAAAAAATGGTCATTACCAAATCGTGTTTAGAAATCAAGAGTGGTGAAGTGTAGGAGGAAAATTATTTGATCATTAAAATGTCACAATTCATTTAGTGGAAGCAACGTCACTAAAGCCAGCTAAGGGCCAAATAGACACTAGAATTATGCCACTCTTTCGTATGCTGTAAGGTTATAACTGCACAGTGTGCAAAGATAAAGGCAAAGAAATCTTTGAAACATTATTTATTATGGCAGTTATCAATATTGTGAATACCTAGCTTAAACAACCAGTACCCCAAATCTGTTTAAATGCTCATACAACTAACTAAAATATAATGATTGACATATACCTCTATTGACATGGAAAGGCATTTGTGATATATGTTGGTTACTGACACATACATTTACAGTATATGACCAGTTTTTATTAAAGATACATAGATAATTTGGATCCTTAAATAATGACCCTAGTTACTGCTGGATCACAGGATACCAATGGATCTTATTTTTTCCTTTAACTTTGC